TCGACCCCCAGTACCAAAAATAAATAAATAAAAATAAATAAAAACATAAATAAATTTTTTTAAAAAGAAGTTAATATTAAGGGCCAGGGATTTGGCTCAGTGGTTCTGGCGCCTGCCTCGCAAGTGCAAGGTCCCGAGTTCAATCCCCAGTACCAAAAACAAAAACAAAAACAAGAACTTAATATTATATATATATTATTTACCCCTAGCAGCACAAAAAAATACAATAATCACACCTGTGTGTTTTTTTATTAGTACATGTCTGCAATACACAATTTTACATTCCTTGTGTGGAGTTGGTACATGTACATAACACATCCCAATTCCTTTTTTCATGCCCTTGCCCTCCTCTCCCTACTCCCTCGCCATCTCTTCTCATTTGAGAAAGAGCTATCTCCCTACTTCCTAGTATTTATCTTTTAGTTTGCTCTTTATTTATAATTTGAATTTCTCATATAAGAGAAACCATGCAATATTTAAGCTTGTGTGTCTGATTTATTTCACTTAACGTTATGATCTCATCATTTTCCTACAAATGACTCAATTTTCTTTTTCTTTATGACAGAATAGGTTGTTGTTCTTTAATCCTCATCAGCAACACAAATTTGGTCATTAGATGGACTAGAAACAGCTTCTAGACCTTCACTTAATTTATCAGATTTTGTTACACTTAACCTCTTTCTCTCTTCTGACTTCAGCATCTTTACAGATACTGGAAATTTCTTCCATTCTTCCTCCTTTGCAAGTAGTGAATTTTTCGAGGGATTCTACTACTTCACTTCTCAACTCATCTTCTGATTCTTCAAAATTTCTGAAATCATAAGAAGTAAAAATCAGGGTTATGAGAGCACTAATATGAAAACTACTTTCCATTTTTATTCTCCACCCCCACTTGAGCAATATGAAAACTGTGTTTTAACTTGAGTAATAAATTATTTATTATATCAGTCTGGCTTTTCTAACAGTGATATCTAATGTTGGGAGACAACTACACAGTCCTCTGTTTAGTTGGATGAGCATTCAACAGCCTTTACTGTATTTATTAATATCCACCTACACTTAGTGATTAAGAGAAGAGGAAGTGAAATAAATCAGACACACATTGTTTAAATACCACATTGTTTCTCTGGTGAGAGAAACTGAAAGTGGAAATAAGGACTAAAATGTATAATAGATATTGGGGAATGGGAAATGGAAAGAAAATGTTCAAATGGGAAGGGCAGCAAGGGAGGAGGGAGGGAGAAAGGAAGGAAGGGATAAGAAAAAAAGTGAAATAGAAGGAAAAAATGGAAACAAAGCTTTTGTACATAGGGAGGGGAAGGGGTTTCGGGGGGTGGGATAAAATTTTCTAAATTTATTAAAGAAAATGTTTATATCTCTGGACTTATCCATAAAATAAAAAAGGCTCAATGAGATGAGAGAGAGAGAGAGAGAGAGAGAGAGAGAGAGAGAAGGAAGTGAGAGAGTAAAAGAATAAAATTGCTACCACATATTAAGCCCTAACTATGTGCCACTGTCCTAGGGCACTTTCACATCTTGTATTTCATTTAATACTAGCAACGACTCAAGGTAGACATTATCTTCAGATTATAGGAAGAAACTGAGCCCCATGAGAGGTAAAAAAAAATTTGTCCAAAGTCTCACAGGCCCTACAGTTGTGTGCTGCATAACAATGTTTCCATCAATTTTGGACCACATGTATAACATATATAAGTGGAATTATAAGATTATAACAGAGTTGATATATTCCTGTTGTCTAGTGATAACACTGTCATGTAAGGTTGAGGTACAATGCCTTGACTCAGGTTTTTGTGATGATTCTGGCATAAACAAACCTACTGCCCTGCCAGTCATATAATAGTACAGCAGATACAATTTCATACAGTACCCAATACTGGATAATGGTAACAGACTATGTTACTGGTTTGTATATTTACTGTACTATACTTTATCATTATTTTAGTGTGTGCTCCTACTTATAAAAAAAGTTTACTATAAGACAAGCATGGTGGTGCACTCTAGCACTCTGGGAACTGAGGTAGGAGGACCTTATGTTCAAAGCCCAACCTGGGCAACTTAGTAAGAATTTGTCTCTAAATTTAAAAAAAAAAAAATGTTAAGAGCTGGGTATTTAGCTCAGTGCAAAGGCCCTAGGTTAAATCCCCAATAGCACCAAAAAAATGTACTGTAAAACAGTATGTCATGTCACTACACCAACAGCAGCTGCACACTTGTGTTTCCTGTGTCTCTTGACTGCAGCAAGAGGCCACATCAAGCGACTGGCTTACAATACCTAGGCCTGTGTAAGTGTACTCTGTTACTTTGACTCAACGATGAAATCGCCTAACAATGCATTTCTCAGAGTTTGTCCCATCATTAAGTGACACATGACTATATGTAATTAGCAGAACCAAGAGATGAAATTGTGTCTAACGTTGCAATGTTGCTATTTTAAAAAGAGAAAGCTCAAAAGACCAAGAAAATTATCTCAAAGATCTACAATATTTAAGCAGTTCATGAAGGAGACTGCAAGAGAGCTGGTAAGAGCCAAGAATGGCCATATAGCAGAAGTCAAGGGAGGAGCTGGATGAGATGAAGATGGGAGGCAATGACCTGCCCTGGCACTTTAAGCAACGGAGAGCTTCACAAGAATGATTTGGAGGAGTGCGGGCAGCAGGTGCCCACCTGTACAGTGCAGTGAGAAATCAACAGAGCTAAGAGAGCGGACACTGAGCTTTACTTTAGCTCCTCTTTCAGGGAGAAAGTCTCTGACAGTGACTGGAAGAGATGGGCATGTTTATTTATATGCAGAGCGAATTGAGGTATCGGTTAAGCATCCCTAACTTGGAAATTTGAAATCCTTCTGGTCCCAGGCATTTCAGATAAGGGCTACTCAACCTGTAATACGAAGAGAGGCACTGAAGACACAGGACAATTGTGCAACAAGTAATAGAAACAAGGTCATAGGAAGGATGAGTGGGAGATGTAAAAGACCCATGGAAAGATGGGCCTTTGGCCAGTGGAGAGACTTTTCCTTCAGAAGAGAAAGACAGGAAAAAAGACGGGGAGTGGGCTCATGTGAATGTAGAAAAGTTATGGAGCTAGGAACTGAGCAACTCCATGTATGAGCCACATAAAGTCTCTGTGAAGTAGAAGGCATGCTTGCCAAGTGTTTTGACACTGAGCTATATTCCCACTCCCAACTTCTTTTCTAAAAAAGACAATGAGGCTGGGCGTGGTGGCACATACCTATAATCCTAGCACTTGGGAGGCTGAGGCAGGAGTTACCACCAGCCTGGGCTACATAGTGAGTTCAAGTCCAAACTGAACTGCAGAGCAAGACTGTCTCAAAAAACCAAAAATACCCCTGCCCAATAAGTATTATATAAAGGCACATGAAAATTAGACGCATGTACTACCAGTTATGTTAAGTGAGAGAATGTCTTATAAAGATTCCTGTGTTGATCAAAGTATAAATCAGAGTATCTTTCAAACAGTAATTTGGCAAAGACCGTCACTGTAAGAGTATATACAGCTTATGAAATGTAATAATTGGCTACTGGAATATTACTGAATTTCTAAAAAATTTACTAGAAAGAAAACTTTCTATGTTTAGCAAATATCTGAACTATTCATCAGTGAAAGAAGTCCTACAGACTAGAATAATCAACATGAATGCAATTCAAATACTGAAACATCCTTTCAGTACAAGTGTATCATGTAGCATTAAGAATTAAACAAGCTAGCAAGTATACACAGACTTGAATTTTTATATATACCTTGTGTTTTCTAATCCTGCTAAATTCAAGTACAAGTTCTAGGGGCTCCTAGAGATCTCTTAGTATTTTCTCTGTAGATGATCATTTCATCTACATATAAAGATTTTACTTCTGCCTTGCCAATCCTATCCTAGTTGTGTCATTTTATTGCTAGACTATTTTGGTTTAGACCTATGTTTCAA